TTGGGCTAATGGTTAATACATGATTGTTTCTTTTTTTGCTTGTGGTTTGCTTAGGGCGTTGTGTGTTTTGCCCTGTAGTATTTTGTTGATCTTCTTTCTGCTGAGTAAGGTAAAAGAGTAACAGATACGTCTGTGATCGTGATTGCGTATACCCTGCAAAGTGTATTCATAGAAACGTATTTGTATGTTTTCTGGTTCTTGTCATTGTGCTTTTGGAATCTTTGCTTTCCATTTTTTTATTGGGCGTTTCTGCTTAATAATGGGTACTGTTTGTTATTTTCTTTTAATTAGATTCCTTCTAGGTGTTTTTTCTGGATTTGTCATTAATTATCTATTCTTTAATTCTTATTTGTTTTTGTTTTGACTATCTCTCTTTGTCTTCTTATTTCTGTAGAAGAGTGAACTCAGAGAGTATTGTTAATTATTGTAAGAATGACGGTACACCGTGTGTTGTTTTTTCTTGCTTTGCTTGTGAGTGTTGAGTGTCTCTCTATGGCAGCTGCAGAGTCTCAACCTGTACCCCAGGATGGTAACACTTGCAAAGAAGGTAGTGGTTGTCCTTCTGGTGCTGGTGTTCTTTCCAGCGAAACTATAGGTGGTGTTGAAGTTGGTCGAGAAGGTACTACTGATTCACAGTGTACTACTGGCGGTACTGCATCTGAAGATTGTGTAAATTGTTCTCAGACAGGGCAATGCACTACTAATGCCCGTGGGACTGAAGGTATTTGTTCTTCTAGTGATTCTTCTTGTCAACCAAAAGCACAGGAACCACTTCTAACTCCACAAGCAGAACATGAGCTGAACGCTGTACAAACTGATGGTCACACTGGAGGTCGACCCGGTGAAAAAGGTGCTGGAGATGATGCTCTTCCTGCGGGTCCTGCAGCCGCTCCTGTCCCTGCTGCTAAGGGTAGTGGTGATTCAACAGGTAAAAATAATGCTGAGCGAGGAGTCGTTGGTGCCCCTGCTGAGCAAGTAACTCCGGATACTGAAGGTAAAGGAGATTCTAATGGTGGTGCTGCTGGTGGTGCTAATCTCCCTGCAAGTGAACCTGAAAATGGAAGCGGTGAACACAGAACAACAGACAAAAGTGCCGCTAAAGTGGACGATGAAGCACAACCTGCTCCTTCTCCCACCAATTCAACACAAGAGAATACCGGTGATAATAATGCAAACGCTGAGAGTGGCACCAAACCTGCAGTGGGTGGGACACCAAGTAACCAAGAAGGTGCTGCAGATAATACAGATACAACAACTACCACCACCACCACCACAACAACAACACTTCCTCCTGAACTCACAAACAACAAGAAGGGTGATGCAGACAGCAGCAGCAGTATCAGCAGTTCTGTGTGGGTGCGTGTACCACTACTGATTGTGGTTACACTGGCCTGTATTCTTGTGTACTGATTGTGGTAATGGTGATGGTGTGACTCAGGTCATCCTTTGTTTTCTTTTTCTTTTTTTTGCATGCATCTACACTACACTCTAACTAATCTTCTACCTTTTGGGCTATTCTTCTTTTTTTGTTTCTGAATGTTAATGTGTTTTGTGTGTGTTTTTGCTCTCTGTGTGTTTATCCTATAATAATTATTATTGCTACTCCATTGTGTGTGTGTGTTCTTGGAGACTCTCTCTGTGTCTGGGCTTGCACTCTAATAACAATGATGAACTGCGTTTTTTGCAGTGGGAAAAGGAAATAATAATAACAGATGAATTTATATTTATAATTGCGTATATATACACATATACAGACTTATACCCATAGTTGGTGTATATTTCTTGTGTTTACTGTGTAAATTGGGCTAATGATTAATATCTGTTTCTTTGCTTGATGAATTTGCTGGGGCATTAAGCCTTTTTTGATATAATTGTGTGTGTGGTCCTTTTTTTTTTTTGTTTTTACTCTTACTGACGTTATTTGCGCTGTATCGCATTCTTTAACTGGTAGGTTTTACTTTCACGATGTGAGTTTCCATATTGGTAATCCTTTTTTGTGTGTCCTAATATGTTTGATACTTCATTTATTTTTATTGATTTTTGGTTGCCTTTCTTTCTAGTTCAGTGTTTTTACGTGAAACAAACCAAACCCTTGTCTCTCTCTTATGATGATGATGATGGGCCGTGTGATGTGTGTGTTGGCCGTTGTGCTGTGCTTCGCCTGCGGGTATACCATGGCGGCTGCTGCAGCTGTTGATGATGACAGTCCCAGTGGCCGTGGTGTATCCCGTGGGGCTGTGGAGGTGTCGTGCGGGGCCGGCGGTGCGCTGCGTGTACGCCCCGCTGCTGAGAGCGAGTGGCTTACATGCGGTGCGCGCAGCCATGTGTCTGCATGTGGGAAGTACGCAGACCTCTGCCGCCAGCGTACCGCAAGAGCAGCAAGAACAACAACTACTAATGTTAATGCTAGACAGCCAAAGGCGGTGATGGCGATTGAAAGTGGTTATGGTCTAGGTGTGTTTTCAACTGTTTCAGGGTATCATCCAGCGGTAGATGATCACGATATTATAAAAAATCTTTCTAGTCAACCATCCTCCACGACTCCTGTTCTAACTCCAAGGGGTTTGTCAGGTGATAGTGCACCTCTGGGTCTTGGTGGACAGACTGAGCACAAAGAGTCTGAAGCAAAAAAAGATATTGTTCCGGACGCTGTGCAAGAAAATTTGGATCGTGTAAGTGAAAGTCAAGATTTAAAAGATCAGGATCATTTAAAAAATACTAAAGAACTTTCTCAACGGCCATCGATTCCCCAAGTTGGAATTACAGAAAACAGTGGGGCAATGACAACACTGGATGGCCACTCGCCGACACACGGGCAAACTAGTGATGAAACGTCAAGTCAACTGCCTGAGGTTGGCACTCATGTTGCGTCTACATCAAGTGTGGCACAGAGCCCTTCAGTGTCTAACGCTGCAGGCGGGAATTCTTCTTCTGACAGCAGAACACAGAATGCCGTTGAAGGTACAGAAGCCCAAGAAGGCTCCTTGCAAGAAACAGCAAAAGGATCACCAACAACAGCCATATACTCAGACGAAGGTGTTGATTCTAATCAACACACCTCACCAACACTATCTGAAAACACTCCAACAAACTCAAGCGAAACCAGTTCGACTACTCCACCGAGGCCCGAGAACACTGTCAGTGAAGCACCAACCACCACTCCATCTCCTGCACCTGTTAATGTGACTGCCGCAGAATCACAAGAAAACAATTCCACTACTCAGCCGAGCTCCGAGAATACTACCACAGAAGCACCAGCCGCAACTCCATCTCCTGTACCCAACGCAGAGATCAACAACACTCTTACAGAAGCACCAACCACCACTCCATCACCATCTCTTGTACCCAATGCAGATATCAACACCATCGCTTCCACAGTGCAGAAGAAGGCTAATGCTGACAGCAGTGTCAGTCCTGTGTGGGTACGTGTACCACTACTGATTGTGGCTTTGTTGTTCTCCGTTACCGTGTACTGAACGGTGGGACTCACTTGAGAGCAAATAATGATAATAATGATAATAATGGTTAAACTAACATAATCATAATGGCGTACATCCCCCATGGGTAAATAAATTAATAATCTGTTTATCAGCTTTCTCGTTATAATTCGAATATCTTTTTTTTACTTTTATGTGTGTGTGTTTTTTTCTAATAATTTCATTACTTGCTTTTCCCGTTGTGTGTCTAGAAAACTGGGCTGTTCTGCTCACTGACGGTATACATCTCTTGCTAAGTACACGGATATGTGTGTTTGTGCAGTAATTTAATACATAAACTAGAGCCATGGGGTATTGTGTGTGTGTGTTTTTGGCTCTCTCTCATTTGGGTATTGTGTGTGCTGTTCTCTTTTTCTTGTTCTATTAATGGATACATATTATTATCATGCAAGTGGGCTATTCCTTTTTGTTGCTTTACTGTTTATTTGATGCTTTTCTCTCTATTTTTCACTATGAGTATTTTTGCCCTAAATCCACTGACTTAGTGTCTCTTTTTCTTCTTTTTCTTCCTTCTTCGTTTTTGTTTTCAACATTCCAAGCATTAGACCCGTTGAGTTCAAGTGACAACAACAAGACGAAGAGTGATAATGGCCGTTATGATGATGATGATGCGCCATGTGATTTGTATTTTGGTTCTTTTATTTTGCTTTTCCTGCTGTGTTGTGTTGGCTGGTGATCTTGAATCTGAAGTTAAGGTTGAAGTCACTCCGGATGGTGATGCTGCTAAAGGAGTGGGTCAACCCGGTGATGAACTTGAGAAAACACAAGCAGAATTACAGAGATCGGATTTAAAAGGAACAACTGGTGATCCTAAACATAGAGATGGTGATAGCGAGACGGAGGATATAGTTGATAGTCCTGAATTAGAACCAATGGCTGAACCAGCAATTACTCTGGGTGGTAAAGGTCTACAAAATCATCCAAGTAAACATCAAACACCCCATTTAGGAGGAGATAATCTCCATTCTTCTCAACTTCTATCTTCTAACTCAGTGCTAACTGGAGAAAATAACCGTTCGGCTGCCTCTGCTTCTTCTTCCTCCTCTTCTTCAACAGTTTCAGTAGGCAGAGTTGAACTTGACAATGCAAAGAAAGGGGAAAAGGTAGAGAGCCCGTCAAACAAGGACACGAAAGCAAACAGTGAATCGACAGATAACGATCGCGTCCACGAACCACCTGCCAATCAAATAAATACAGTGAACTCTGACAGTACACACATCTCCCAAAACACGGTTCAGGAACAGTCAGCTGAAACCTCACAGAGTTCTCAG